TGAGGTGGACTCCTTTAGTTCTTCTTTAAAGGAAAAAAGAAAGTCAAAAGATTCCATTAGAGAAAATGCAACCAAAGTGCAAAGAAGTGTTATCCAGACCAAGGACTTTATTCCACTTTATCTCCACTAGTAGCCCTTAAACAGGTCATAACCACTAGTGAAACTAGTGATGAAACAAGGAACAAATATAAAAATTAGTAACATGTTTTAACATTATATGGTTCTTGACAACCTTTATGACTGCTGCATGAGCAAGCAAATTAACACCCCATGCCAAAGTTGCAGTGCAAACAAGAATCTGTAGCATGTTACTCAGAAGAATATGCACGTAAAAATCCAAAACTAAGGGCCCGTTTGGAAATGTTGTCTTTTGATTTTTGTTGCCTAAATTTGATCATAAAAAATGACAATGATCCTTTTTATTTATTTATTATTTACCCTTTTTTTTTTCACTTTAAGCCAGCACCCAAACGGGTGCTAACTGGCCTCACATCATCACCACACCAGCGCACTTTGTGCGCTGGTGTGGCAGTGCCGAATGCTGGGCTCCGGTGCGGTGGCGCACCCAGCACAATAGATGTGTTTCTCGCTCATAAAATTTGTGCTGGACCAGTACCCCGACGTGGCCGAGCCACCCCTCGCCCTTAATTAATTAATTAATTTTTTTTCAGTCAAAATATGCAAAAATCACTCGAATTTGAAATTAAGATGCAAGATTCGAGAGAAGGTCTCGGCAACAAGAAGGATAAGGATTATGGAGACTCTAAGATTGTCTTTTAGTGCTACAATATATGAAAATGCACAAAAAAAATTGTCAGAGTTTAACGTACTTACTTTTAAAATTTCACTATTGTACAAAAAGAAGAGGAAGGCAACTAGAGTTGGAGGACTTAGAATTGATTTTATTATTTTAAGAAGGGAATACGAAAGTCTACCACCCACTCCAATTTAAAAAAAAAAAAAATTTTTTTGAAAAGTTATTTTATTAATACGAGTACAAGGGCTACTTAATCCGTCCACTTACATTGATTACAAGTTTACAAAAAAAAGTAAAAGGCAATTTGTGCATACCCGCCTTTAGCTATGTGTATGAGCAATCCTTTGAACCAAGGCCCCACCATCCCTTACTCGTGATTTTGAGGTTGCATCTATTTCCTTTTTGTTGACTTCCTGCATAGTCTTGGCTCTCGAGACCATTCATGGAAACTGAAGTAGCATTTATCCAACTTCCCTTTAACCCAATGAAATGATCTCAGTTGTACTAGTTCAAATAATGTCACCATCCATTTGACCATAAAGACTTTTTCATTTTGTCCTAGCCAAATTGACCAAATGCATGCAATCCAAACAGTCCTCCATCCAGTGCTTGACCTGCTGGTTCTATCTAAATTGCATAATAGATTTAAGGCTTGGTTACAACAGCATGGTATAGCCGAAGCCAACCCCCACCATGCTAAGTATTTCATCCACAATGTATATATTATGTCACAATATAGGAATAAATGACTAGAGCTTTCCACATTCAATCCACAAATCTCACAAGCACACTTCCTTATATTTTCCAAAATCCCTCTTTTCCATAGGTTAATCTAGTTGGAATCCTATCAAGATATATTTGCCAAAGGAAAGCTTTAGTCTTGGCACATTGGAGTTCCATAATAATTTGAAGAAGCTGTCCTCCATTAGTACTAGTGTATCTAAAGCCAAGTATCCCAACTTTGCTGAGTATTTGCCTTTACTACTGTGGCTCCACACCCAAGTGTTTGTTTTTCCTTGTATAACTGAAGTGGACAACAATGTTGACTCAAGTTCCTGCTTTTGTTCTGCCTCCCACGACAACACATTGTGTCTCCAATTTAATCTCCAAGACCAAGAGCCTTCTGTCCAAGAGCCCATTTGACACACTCTAGCTTCTTTGCCTGTTGATAACATAAAAAGTCTAGGATATTTGTCAGCAACAGATTCTTGTCCTAACCATTTATCAGTCCATAATCGCACTTGATTCCCCTTGCCTAATTCACAACTAAACCCATCTTCCAACCAACCCATTCTATCTATTTCTAATCCATTCAATCTACATACATCCCTTCACCAAATTGAGCCCAACCCCTTACCCTCCCTCATCCAACTAATCCAATTTCCACCAACATTTCTGTACTTCTTCCTAATGACCCTCTTCCATAGGCTATCCCCTCCATTGGCAAGTTTATCCCACCACTTGCCTAATAGTGCCATATTAAATTTTGTGAGATTTTTTATGCCTAATCTGCCTCCCCATAAAAAGCCCCTCCTAATTTTGTAAATAAGATGAACAATACCTTTTGGCAGAAGATAGATAAACATGAGAAATACTGGTAAACTAGACAACACAAAATTGATGAGAGTTATACGACCACCAAGAGATAAATAACAACTTGTCCAATTAGAAAACTTTTTTCTGAAAGTTTCCACTAGTGGCTTCCAAAAAGCCAAGTTCCTTGGACTGCCTCCAATTAGTACTCCCAAGTATTTGAAAGGAGTCACACCTATTTTGCAATTGAGTATGTATGCCATCTTACATAGCCATTCCTCACAAACATTTAACCCTACCCACATGCTCTTTCCAAAGTTTATCTTTAAACCAGAGACGAGCTCAAATGATCATGATGCTTTTAACAACCTTCACATTTTCTTCTGTTGCCTGATTGAAAAGGATCGTATCATCAGCAAATTGTAGATGGGAGATGGTAAAATTGCTGATCCTAACACTTACCCCTTTGAGTAATTGTTAAGAAATTGCCGACTAAATTAAACCATTCAATCATTTTGCCACAATTAGGAATAGAAACGAGGAAAGTGGATCCCCTTGTCTAAACCCCCATTGAACTTGAAATTACCTTGTAGCACTTCCATTTACTAGAACTGACACTAAGCTTGAGTTAAGACACTTCATAATCCACCTTCTCCATTTCTCATGGAACCCCATACTCTCCATCATGAATTCCAAACAATTCCATGAAACCTTATCATAAGTTTTTTTCAAAATCAACTTTAAAAGCAAAGGTCTTTAGTTTTTTCCTTTTGGCTTCATCCAAAACCTCATTGGCAATCACCACATCTTCACTTAGTTGCCTTCCACTCAAGAATGCCATCTACTGTTCTCCTATCAATCCATCCATTACTTGCCGAAGTCTATTTGCGAATAACTTGGCAATTATTTTATACATAGAATGGATTAATGAAATTAGCCTGAATTCATCAATATTTAGGGAGTTTTTAGTCTTTGGGATGAGTATTAAAAATGAAGTGTTTAGCCCCTTGTTCAACCTTCCAAATTCATGGAATTCATGGACAAAGGCTAAAATGTCCTCTTTCATCACATCCCACATCCTCTTGATGAAATTAAAATTAAAACAGTCAGGAACTAGTGCTTTAGAGCTTTCACACTCCCAAATAACCTTTCTAACCTCTTCCTCCTCCAATGTTGATAGATGTCTAAAATGTAAGCCTTCTACTGTAGGTTGAACCCAATCTTCCTCCATGAACATCTCCTCAAAGTGTGCAACTATTTCTTCTTTAATCTTGTCAACTCCTTGAAAATTATTCTCATCAATCCATATACCATTGATCTCATTTCTCTTCCACCTTCCTTTTGCACATTTATGAAAAAAGCGTGTATTTGCATCTCCATCTTTAATCCACACTTTTCTAGCTTTTTATCTCCACATCCTATCCTTGGTCTTCAAACTATTCTGGAGTTCCAACAGGTTGTTCTTCCTTATATCCTTTTCTATCTCTGATAGTTGCTGTGATTCACCTATCAAATCTATCTTCTCAATACTCTCCTTAGCTAGGTTTACTCTATAATCTACTTCTAGCACTAGATTCTTGCTTCAATCCTTTAGAAAAGCTTTTAATTTTTGAGCTTTTCTTTCAAAATAAATCTCTTCCTTCCTTGAACTGTCAGTGACCTCCATGTTCTAGTTATAGACTCTTGGAAATCGGATTGATCAAACTAGGAATCAAATACTTTAAATGGTTTAGGGCCCCAATCAATCTTTTAATCTTTCAACAAAACAAGGTAGTGGTCAAAGATTGATCTTTTTAACCCCCATTGTTTAACTTCCCCCCAATTCAATAACCATTCCTCACTTAAAAGAAATCTATCTAATCTAGTCATAGAATTTCTATTTGAATGTTAGCAAGTGAACTTCCTCTTGATCAATGGTAGATCCTGCAACTCGGTTTCCAATATAAACTCATCAAATTCCTTTAGCTAACATTGTTGTCTCATGCTTCCAACAAATTCCTCATTATTCTTGATTGCATTAAAATCTCCCATAACACACCAATTCCCCTTTTGTTCATGGATCAGCCTTTTCAAATCTCCCCATAACTTCCTTTTACCTTGCATCTCACATGGAGCATAAACATTCACAATATTCATTGGTGTCCCCTCAAGCCCCCAAAACCCGAAGACCCCAACATAGCCATCACCTTTAAAAAAACCCTATGCTTCCTAAAAACATCAGAATTCCAGATGCTAATAAGTCCCCACCAGATTGCCCTTTTGTTGGTTTTGCAATCCAACCCATGTTCTCAAAACCTTAGATGCTTCTACATAGCTTTTTATCCACATGCTTAAGCTTTGATTCTTGAATTGCTACAAACTCAACTTTCCCTTTTATTAACAATTCCTTCAATTCCCTCTTCTTCCCATCCCCCCCTAATCCTCTTACATTTAGTGTTAATAAAATCATTGAGATTTAGTGGTACCTTTCTTCCCCCTTGTCGCATGCTTATTTGCCTTTGTTTGCCATCCTTTCTTGTCTCTCTATTCCATCTCTTCTAGCTACCACACAACCTTTCCCTCGTTGCCCATAGCCACCACCCCAATTTTCTTGGCTAAATTTTAGATTTTTGCTACCCCACCAAATTCTGCTTGTTTTGATCTATTTCTGTTGCAGTTTGCTATTCCACTATCTCCAATTGATTCCTTTACCACCTTATTGTCTTTTTTGAAAAAAACTGGGACTTTATCTTCTAAACCTGGCTTTCTCTATTGTTTCTTGTTCCTTCCCTTTTGCCTTGCATGTCAAAATATAATAAGGGCACTTCTATACATAGATGCACAAGACTGAGCCTTCCTAGCCTTTCTTTTCTTCAAACTGCACCTCTTTCTCCTCTCCATCCATTCTTCTAGCCTTTCTGAATCACTTTCAAGTCCTTCCCAAAGGGATTTTTCTTGATCTCTTTCCACTTCCCCATCAGATTTGAAAGACAAATCCCTACTCAATGTTCCTTTTTGTCCTTCGCAAGAATCTTCCTTGTTGTCCATTTTGACATGGTTCTCGATAAATTGGGCTTTCTCACAGTCTTGCAGAGTGTCCCCATCAAATCTTGGGTTTATTTTTTCTATTGGCTCATTTGTAACGTAAAGAGATTCAAGGCTTTCCTCATCAAGCCCATTTTGAGTATTTATTTTCTCAGGCCCATTTTCAACACAAAGTACCCCTTTTGAATCCTTTCCCCTATCCTTGCAATTCATCCTTGGCATTTCCAGTAAGCTATCTGCCACAATCTTCGATGCACTTGATTCATTTCCAATGCTCCTAGGTGGTTGGTAAGTACTTTCTTTTATATCCCCAATGTTTGATGCAAAAGCCTAACACATATCGTTCATGTAGATCGGTAGATTTACTGATGGTTCATCCACCACCTTATCTCTTGCTGCCACATCATCATTGTTCTTGTGAGTACTATCACTTGAGAAGACATTTTGCATTGCTTCAAATGATTCATCTTCCATGGCTTCATCTTCTGCATATCCCAAAGACCATGATTCATCATCTTCCTTGTCAGAGTTTGATGCAAAGCACGGATTGAAATATGTTTTCATACTAAAAATGCCATTTGTTGATTTTTCTTCAGTTATCTTTAAGGTCACTAGCCTACCATCAACCTTTATTTGGAGTTTCTTTGAAATAAACTCCATTGCAGAAGTTGAAATAAGGAATCTTCCAATATCAAATCTTTTTCATCCACTTGTGCTATCATCTAAGCATATCATTTTCCCCCAAATGCCAGCAATTGTTGCAAAGAATTCATCCCCCCAAGCTTGCAAAGGAGCTCCTTGGCATCTTAGCCAAACACACCTTTCGCTTGCAATTATTTTTGGCAGTGTTTTAAGAACTAGACCAGATTGGTCGGTTCAACTAGTTGAACCGTCAATTGGTGGGCAAAACAAGCCGGGTGAACACCCAGGCTCGTTTAGATGGTTGGACCATCCAAACTCGGAAGAATCGTCCGACCCGTCCAACCTGGTAGACTCGGTGAACCGGCCAACGAATTCTTCCACAGTGACGCGACATTGCAAGCCTACTGCAACTTCGTTTTCTTTTCTTCTTTTTTTTTTTTTTTCATTCACGATTTCCCACTTTTTCCAACACAAGCAAAATCTGATTGTTTTTTCTCCATTCTCCAATCTCTATCGGTTCTCCACTCTCAAATCCAGTCTCCATTGCTTCTCCAGATTTGATGTTGCTTCTCCATTGCAGTTCTGCATTCTTTAGTTTCCAATTTTCCATCACTTTTCCAGCCATATTGACAAAGAAGAAACCACAAGGTAGCACCGTAGCAGATCAGGCAACAGATCGCTTCTCCTTTGCGTCTCCAGATCTAGCAGCAGATCAGCTCCTCCATCACATCTCCAGATCGGGAAGCAGAGGGTAGCAGATCAGATCAACCTTCATCAGTTCATCGCTTCTGCATCGCTTCTCCAGATTGGATAGCAGATCGGTAGCCAGAGCATCACCTCCACCGTGCCTTCATCCACCAACCTTCACCATTGATTTCAACTAAAATCTCCTCGCCTTTCTCACTTGATTTTTGAAGCCAAGGTGCTTTTACATTACAGTTAATATTTTCCTTGATTTTGGTTATCAATTTATCAATTGCTAAATAATTTTGTGAAGAATTTTATGAGTTCTCTTTAATCTTGTAGCAAATTTGTCTACATACAATGCAATCAGTATTCATGATTGTTATGATTTCTAAACTTGTAGAAACTGTATAGAAAAATTGTGAGTTTTCTTCAATAGTCCCTTATGAAATTGGGAACATTGGTTGACTCATATCTTTTTAAGAATAGACAGAACCGAGTTTAGTATTCCTCTGTTCTTAATATTATTTGATAGTAAAAATTTTTAAATCATGCGATAAATTGAATTATGTTTTAATCGAGCTGCTAATATTATTTGATAGTATTCATTTGTCTTATATTATTTAATTATCTTGTTGATTGTGTGAGTTAGGTTTGAATTATGATTTATTTTGTTAATTTTTATTTATTACATGTTTTGCTTTTTAACTTTCAAGGTGGCACACATGTTATTGATAAAGAAGTGCAATGTGATGAAGGAGGATCATTTCATATTGGTAGTGCAAGTGGAGGAATTGACTTGAAATCAATTGGTGAAGAAAATGATAGTAGTTACAATAGTGAAAATGATTTTCGTGAACACAATGCTCGGTTTAATGAAGATCCTCCTCATCTAGGAGATAAACAATGAATAATTTTAAATTTATGAATCATTTGCATGTTAGTTTAAATTTTTGGACTTGTTTTTCATTTATATATGTGTAAGATTTGTTAATTTTGAGACTTATAGTTGAATGATACTTTTTTTTTATTTATTTACTTAATTTTAAAACTTGTTTTTCATATATATTTTGTTTTGGGATTTGTTTTTGATATTATTTTGTGAATTTATATATCTATTAAATTTAATTTAAATTGAAAATAGTTATATAATGCTAGAAATTGCAAGGGAAAAAATTGCAAAACACAACAGCCAAATGATGCCAGAAACTACAGAACCTAAAATTGCAATTTTAGGCACTTTTCAATTGAGTCGGGCGGGTGGCCAATTGAACCGATCAGACCTCCAGAACCGAGAATCGGTCACTAAACCGATTCAACCACTGGTTCAGGTTTCAAAACCATGATTTTTGGTGACCATGGTTTAACATTTTCAAACCATTGGCTTAACCAACCTTTAATTGAACACCAAAAATACCCTTCCATGTAAAACTTTTCTTGCAAGTTCGGTACTACCTCTACTGAATATGTTGTGCCAATGTAGCAACCTTCAAGCCAAGTTTGATATTCTTTCTTAGTGTTAAACACCAACCTGGAACCTTCTTCCTTCCTTCTTGCTTGCCGAAACTGTTCGTTTCTCAACCGAAGCCTTGAAGTTTGTCTCGGCTCTAAATCTACACGAGTTTCTCTCGTCCCTTTCAATACATCAGCATAAGATGCCCTTCTTGGCTAACTCACCCTTGTATCTTTTCTCGGCAGTTGCTTTTTCTTGGAGTCTTCCCTACTAAATCTCACCTTATACACCCATAATTTGCATTTGCCGATCCTTATTTAATCTAGTTGCCTTTCCAGTTCCCATCCATTTCTGACATCCAAAAAATGCACAAACCCAAAGTGCTTTCCTACTCTATCCTTCCTTGGTGGGCGATAGATTGCAAGGACCCTGCTGTACTTCTTGAAGGTTCCCCACATTTCTGCATGGCTCAAATCCTCAGGAAAATTGGTGAGGAAGTAAGCCACTGCCTGATTGTATGTGCTCTTGTCATATCCCCAAGGAACAAAATCCCTCTGGCTCTTCCTTCTTGCCTCCAGATCATACTGTCGTTCAACTGATCTTTGTCTGTCAACAAACTCCCAACTCTGTGCTGTCCATCAAACCTTGGCTCTTTGTCTGTTCGTCTGCCTCTCTCTCGCTTGCCCCCTAATTTTTCTTTTTAGAAAAGTTTTCTTCCTACATTTATAGAAAAAAAATTTTTATTTGTACCCCAATTAAATCCTGGCATTAAATCTCCAATTTAATTAAATTTCAACGTAAATTATAATTAAATTGGTGAAAGAAACTTTTTCTCTCCTTTTTGTCATTCTCCTTAATTCAAATAAATGGTTAGTAAACTATGAGGGAAATGATAGGTACACCCATCGGTTCAACACTTTTCAGTTTAATCATTAAAAATATAATATAAATATAGTCAATTCAGTCGGTTCTTGTATCATATATACATGATTGTATCATTATATTTGTCTGTTTTTAATTTCAAATTAAAAAATAATGATTTTTTAATGATTAAACCAAAAGATATTGAACCAAGTGTTGAATTGGTGGTCTACCAATCACTGTCCCAACTATTACCATTAGTAATTAATTGGGTTTTTCCTTTTCGATTATATGAATCTCAATAAATCTAGAAAAATATTTGAGTTATTTAAAAAATTGCCCTTGGCTCCAAAAGAACTTTCAAAGAGCTCCTCAAGAGATTTTACAATGGAGTTAAAGGTTTGAATTGTTTTCATCAATTCGTTATTTTCATCAATATAGAAAATAATTTTTAGAAATCATTTTTCAGCCAACCAAAAGGACCCTAATGTTAGAAGTTGTGGCACTAATGTTTTGGCCACAAACATTTTTAATATAGACAATGGAAGAGAGAGAAATGACATAGAAAATTAAGATATTTTAATTTTTTTATTGAATATTTATTAAAATGGTATAATTTTAAATTATTTTTTTACTTAATTTTATACAAGTATTATTAATAAACATTTTTCTCTTAAATTAATTTTAAGTAATGATATATTTGATACTCATATACCACGCATATGTATATGTATACTACTCTTTCAAAATAAGTAGTATCAAATACTAACATATTTTAACAATAACAAAATATTGTAAAAGTTGAGTTTACAGCATAAACTCAATAAATCATTTACAAAAGATAGGTTGCTTTCCTTTCCGATTCTTTCCCCGATCCTCTCTCCAACAAAATTCCTCCTCGTCGTGTTTGTTGGTTGAGAATCTGCTTATCCTATGAAATTTCACAAAAGAGATAAAGCACATGATTTTTTCCTTTTCTTGTTTTTTGTTTTGTCTTTTTTTTTTTTTTTTAAAGCTAGGTCTGCAAAATATTCATCTTATATATTCTTAAGAAATAGAATGTAAATAATATAATTCATACTCTCTCAGTTCAATTTATAGCGGTGGACTTAAATTTTTTATTTAAGGCCTCTAAATTTAATCATTTACTTTTTTTTTTAAAGAGGTTATTTAAAGTTATTATTTTTATTTGACCTTTATATTAAAAAAATAATTGTCATATATTAAATAAAAATTTCTGTTTAAGTAATGATTAATTAAAAATAAATATTCAACAAAAAAAAAAAAGAAAGAGAAAAGCTATGGAGGTAATAAAAAAATAGAAAGAAAATGTATTATAGTATATTTTTTACTTTTATGAGATCGATAATATTATAGTTATTGTTATAATATTATATAATGTTTTAAGTTTATGATCATAAAGTGGTTTTAAATGAGTATGATGTGTCATTAAATCAGTAAATTTATATAAAATCACATATAAATCATACATTAAAAAAATTAATTATATAAAAATACATTATATTTTTAAATTACAATCTTACGTTACATTGTAAATATATTTATTTCATTACCAGAAAGATTAAAGTAAACTTTTTTTTCCCCTATCACACTTGTACCAAGAACCAATCCATTATTATTAATAATGAAGTTCTACTTATGTAGTTCTATTCTACTTTTCTTCCTTTTTCTAGTTCTATTCTACTTTTCTTCTTTTTTCTAGTTCTATTCTACTTTCTTCATTTTTCTTTAGGCATGTAGAATTCGAGGAAAAAGGAAGTGCTCCCAATACGCCTCAAATTCTTAGATACTTGGGGCAAACCAATAGGCTTTCTTTTCCCCTCTCTTACCCTTTAATCTCCTCCTTTTCTTACTTTCCTTTCTCCCTGATTGTTGTTTCTCTCTTTCTTAGCAATTGCAGATGGTAATGATAAATAAAGGTGAAAGCTTCTCTTTTTTTGACAGTTCCTTTTTTTTTTTTTTTTTTTTTGTGGGGTTCTCACTTTTGAGGTTTCTATTTGAGCTCTTTTAATGTTGTGTATTCGCTTTTGCCCCATATTGAAGAGGAAGGCAACGTAGATGGTTGGTGGGTTTAAACTAGCAACTGCAGTTGTTTTGACTATATATTGATGGCACGGTGATGATGGAGGTTAAAGGAGATTCCATCTCTTCTCTCTAGAATAACTTAGGTATGACTTCATTAGTTTTTCAAGAACACTCCAATTCTTTTCTAGACTAGTGCATCTTCTTTTTAGTATCACATTTGATAGGTGTTAATTGTTGTTTGTTGAATTACTACTCTCCCTTAGCAAGACAAATGTGAGTACTTGGTAATTTAAGATGCTCACAATGGTAATCTCTCTATTTAAGTAACTCTTTTATTGCTGGCAATTTTAGGAATCCTTAGTAACAACTGGCTCTTTTTCCTTTCATGTTAATGGAAAATGCTTGCCTTTTTATTAAAAAAAAAAAAATTCCTCTCTTTCCTTAAATGTTTAGATCCATCATCAACATGTCTTCAATTAGTGCTATCTTTAGCTTCCCTTCGTTATAGGCATTGTGGCACATGGCTGTAAGAATTATTTTTGTAATCTCTCTTTATCATTAATAAACCGCATGATTTTCAATAAAAAAATACAAAGTTTCCACAATAAAACAATACAACGATGGTTTCCACTAAAATAAAAAATAGAAAAGTAGTGACTGCATGAAATTTCTTTTTGTGCTTGATTTTTTCTACTTTTGTTATTGTCACGAGAAACTTGTTGCTTTTGTTAGGAATCTTAGGATAAAGTATGAATGCTACTGCCGCAGTTTATACGTGTTATCTTTAAGCTCAAAGTCTAAACAAAATCAAAGTATCTTTTGTAATAGATGAAAGAAAAACAGTTTAATTTTTACGATACGGTAACAAATCATTACTAGATAAATTCCTCAAGTCACTAAATACACTATAAATATAAAACCTTAATTTAGAGTTAAATAAGGAGTTCAAAACATCATAAATATTGTTAAGTTTTAGGTTCTGATGTAAAAGAAAAAAAAAATTTTAACAGTAATTAGTACACATTTCAATATAATATATATTATACAATACATTTATTAAAAAATTATTATTATTTTTTAATTTAAAAATAAATAAATTTAAAAATACAATAGGCATATATGATATAAGAACTAATTAAATTTATTGTATTTATATTATATTTTAATAATTAAACTAAAATGAGTATAAAAAATATATATTGAACTAAATATATATCAATTATTTTTCATTTTAGAAAGATTTTACACATGCAACATCCTAAATACATGCCCTCCAACTAATATTTGCTCTTTCTATGACTGACTTCACACGCATAACTGGATCATGCATGTATCCAGACAAACGAAAGAACATATGAAGCTTTTATTTTATTATATCTTACATCAATTGATGAGCTATATAATATGAAGTAATCTCTCTTTTTTCTTAGTTTCTTCTCATCTATCCCAATATTTAAATTTGAAATCTTTAACTCTGAATTTCAAAATCTCAACTATTTGAGATATCTTGAAATGTATAGTTTTTATTCTAACCTAATCCAACAAAAGGACCTAAAGATTTTAGAAAGATAAAACATCAATTTCTTACTATTTTTTCACAAGTTGGGATATGCAAGATGCCCATCATATTATATACATATATAATAGAAATCCATATACATATAAGTCTTACATATATATCACATTTATACAAAATCTTAATAATTCATCTCTCTAATTTTAATGATTGAGGTTTATTATAATTTATCAAAATCTCAATAATTCATCTCTCTAATGTTAATGATTAAGGTTTATTATAATTTATTAAAGATAATTATTGTTTTTAATTAAAAAAATTGTAATAAATTTCAACAATTAAAAGTGATAAGACGAATGGTTAAAATTTTAAATAAAGATAGTGTATAAAATTTATGTGTAAATGGATCCCCTTATATATATATTTCCAACAGAGCCATCACAATAATTTTTGGTTATGCATAAAAATACACTAGTACAGTGAAGGAAAGAAATGAAAAGAAACGCAAGGAAATTCTTCACCACGCACTAAAAATGCGTCATGTTAATTAGTGGAATTCCTTTTAAAAGTTGAAATGTGTTTCTCGGAAAATGCTGAGAGAGGAGACCATCCATTGGACCAGTGCATTATAAAATGTCAAATGTTGAAATGGCTATCTACTCATCCTCACCAACTTCTCTCTTAAACCAAGCATTTTAACACCAATATATATAGAGGGTTGATGGACATATTCTTGTGATCCATTAACACTAACTCATCCCTCTTTTTATATATGTGTACAAACATTTTGTTTATTTGGGTGGCATAAAACATGGATGATTTCAAAGCAGAGAAAATAGAGAGCCAAAGTGAGGTCCCGGAAGCTGAGGCGGCCAGGAAAGGCACCACCTTCCTCAGAACTTGTTTCAATGGGCTCAACGCCTTGTCAGGTCCTCTCTTTCCTTCCCTTGCTCTGCTAATTGTTGTATTACATTTTTACTTGAATGACAAGGTACACTCAGGTTCTAGATATCATTAGATTATCTTCTAGACTCTTTTTTTTTTTTTTTTTTTTTTAAAGACATCAGATGATGAGTTTTATAATAAGATATAGTTTTTCTTTCTCATATTTTCTTTTTATCTAATCTCAAGATTTGAATCCTTTAACTAGACGCATCTTTGCCATATCCTTTTCCTTGTCGTCATATGACTTGAAAGTGTTCAAATCAACTGGTCCAAAAAGAAAGGGAAAAGTGAACATGTTCGAGGTCATAATTATTTAAGTTGCTACATAAAATTTTTCCATTTCATCGGCCAATTTAATTAAATGAGCCAAAATTGTAGATAATGATATAGTGATTGTAGTACATTTGCATGTGAAAAGACCAAACTGGGGACAAATTGATAAGACGGTAAAAATAATTTATTTTTCATTTTTAATATAAGAGACGGGTTATAAAAGATGACTTGTTAAATTAATGAGTTTCTATATCTTTATATTTAAAAAGTACTATACAATTTGAGTTACATAATTTAAATTATTTGATTTAAAATAGATCCCTTAATATTAAAGATTCCCATCTAATAGCTTCTTTTTTCTTGAATGGCAAATATTAATATTTTATTTAAAATTAAAAAGTAGAAGGAGTATTCTAAATCTGTTACACACAGCTATATCCTTCTATCCAATAGTTTTTTTCTTTTTTTTTTTTTTGCATTTCGGACAGCAAAATATGAAATTTAGATATATTTGCTTTATTCTTATCACATCAAACTGGTATGTGACAACCACACACTCACAGGTGACATTTCATTAATTCAACTTGAACTTCGTAGAGGGATAAGCATATATGGCTGAATTCAAGATATGTTTTCTGTCTTTTCAGGTGTTGGAATACTCTCAATCCCATATGCACTATCCCAAGGAGGATGGTTGAGCCTAATTGTTCTGTTTCTAGTAGCTATCCTCTGTTGGTACACAGGACTTCTTCTCCGACGTTGTATGGATTCAAGCATGCGCATCAAAACTTATCCTGACATAGGTGAGCTTGCTTTTGGGTACAGAGGAAGAGCAATAGTATCGATCTTCTTGTATCTCGAGCTTTATTTGCTTGCAGTTGAGTTTCTGATACTTGAAGGTGATAATCTTCATAAATTGTTTCCCAACATGGAGTTCAAAATTGCTGGGTTGAAAATTGGAGGAAAACAAGGCTTTGTTCTGTTGACTTCCCTGGTAGTTCTGCCATCTACATGGCTGAAGAGTTTGGGAATTATGGCCTATTTTTCAGCAGGTGGGGTTCTAGCCTCTATTGTTCTTGTTGTTTGTGTGTTGTGGGTTGGAGCGGTTGATGGAGTAGGTTTCCATGAAGGAGATATGTTTTTAAATTGGAGAGGAATGCCCACTACGATAAGCATGTTTGCCTTTTGTTATTGTGGGCATGCAGTTTTCCCCACCCTCTGCAACTCCATGAAGGATAGAAGCAAGTTCTCCAAGGTAAAAATCTCTATATAATAATGTTTTTCAGTCTAAAAGGCAATATATATATATATATATATATAAGAGTGAATGATATACATTTCGATTCAACAAACTACATAATACACTCATTAAAAAATCACTATTTATTGGTTTGAAATTTAAGGCAGACAAATTTAAAGATATACAATAATACACACAGAATACAAAAACCAACTGAATTGATTATAACTATATTATATTTTAATGGTTGAACCAGAAATGTGTAAAAAAATATGTTAAACCAAGTGTATACAGATCATTTTCCATATATATATAATCAAAATGAACAAAAGTATCAGTTCAAACTAGAAATGTCTTAAATGCCCTTTCCTCTATGGATTTTATTATTCTTAATAATCTCCTTATTTTGCTATGTGGATTGTATTAAATTATAAAATAAAGACCATTGGAGGAGAGGAGAGCTTCGATATCAAAGAACTTACTACCATCTAATAATAAATATTATGCAGTCTAGTACAACACTTTTCCCTTTTAAATATAAGTTTATCTCATTATTTTCTTCTTTATTTGTGTTTCCTATCAGGTTTTGCTTGTTTGCTTCATCACAAGCACAATCACCTACGCATCAATGGCTGTTCTTGGCTACCTAATGTATGGAGAACATTTAAACGCTCAAGTGACCCTAAATCTTCCAGTTAGAAAAATTTCTACAAAAATAGCAATTTATACTACACTAATCAATCCCCTTACAAAGTATGCTATCATATTGACTCCATTAGCTACTGCCATTGAAGAAACAACATATTTTCGCAACAGCAGGACTCTTAGCATCCTCATAAGGACAGCACTTATGGTAAGTACAGCAGTTGTAGCCTTAACCATTCCATTTTTCGGCTACATAATGGCCTTCATTGGAGCATTTCTCAGTGTCACTGGATCTATGTTGATGCCATGCCTTTGCTACCTAAAGATTAACAAAGATGCTAGAAGTTTTGGGTTGGAGTTGATAATAATTGTTGTTATCTTGGTGGGTGGCTCGTTTATAGGCATAGTGGGTACCTATACATCTTTGAAACAAATTGTAAACCATCTCTGAAAAGTCAAGATGGTGCAATGATCTTAGTAAAATCAACACATACTATAGGAAGTTTAAGCAAAAAGGAAACTGGTAATATACCTGTTCTTTGATTAAATGAAGCCACAAACTTAAAAATTCTGTATTGCAGGTCTGCATGTAAGTGATCAAATTAATACTACTATTCTCAGAAAAAAAATATTTCTGGCTTGCTAAAACAACCAACTACCTAACCTTTTAAAATCATAATTTGCATAGATGCATATGGAAGCCACTGACCAATGAGCATCTCTTTGCAGAAAATGATTGATACATACTCAATTCAATATGCTTTCTAATACTCATTCTAGTTCACTTATTAAAATATAATATAAGTATAGTCAATTTAACCAATTTTTACATTTTATTTGGATAGATGCATCTTTAAATTTATTTGCTTTTTGTATGCATAGATGCATTTTTAAATTTATTTGTTTTTAATTTCATACTAGAAAATAGTTTTTTTTTTAATAAATATGTTATGCAATATGTTGAATCGAAGTATATGCCAATTAATGTCCTTTTTTGGCCTACATATGCAAGTGTTCTTGATCTATGGCGGCAACCTTCATGTGACAAGTTTATGATTATGACAAGTTACTAACAACAATACTACAAAATAACAAAATTTAAATTCTTCCATTCTATTGATGTATGGCAATATGAGTACATTTTATTCAAGTAGGCCAACTCAAATTTCATCCACTGCGTTGTATAAACAACTAAGCATGACATACATTGCAAGTCTTGAAAGAAAATGGCAAAGTTAAGTGACTGAATTTCATTAAATCTGGCTTCATTTTAGTGTTACCTAAATTTCAGTAGGAAACTAGCGCAACTAATTACTAATTTTCAGTGCAAAATCATGAATCACGGTAAGACAAAAAGAGTGACATGGTAAAAATATATGATGAAAGCCAAAGCGCCATTAATGAAAGGGGGGAAAAACACTATAAAAGATACATGTGCTGCATAGGTTGGAGGAAGAATCATTGTGATTTGCGAGTGTGTATTCCAATCTTAAAATGTGCTGAACTTTTCCTATAATAGCTATGTCCAAAGAACCATACCCATAGGTAGCACAAGGAGCCGGACGATAGCCTGCAGCCTCTATAAAGACAAGTCATGACCTCTTAGATATCATTATCAACTGCACCATTTGGCCACAACCCTCATTGCAAAACATCTGCAGTGAAATCAAGCTAATTAAGATGCATAACACAATCTAGTATAGATTTAAATTATGTAAATTTGCTAACATGACATTTCTTTTTGCTACGTTAGATGATGGGTTATACAATAAAGAATAATCATCTCCTTCCCAAACCTAGTCCTTTATCAATCCTAAGATTCAAATTTAAAATTTTCAACATGAAAACTCAAACTCTTAATTAACCACTGTAATGTCCCTTTTGAGACTTGCTAACATGATCTTGTGAATAGGGATGTCAAATGCTTCATCAAGGTAGATGTTCTAGGATATTCTAATGGTTTTTTTTTAAATTTTTATTTTTAATATTGGGGTAAGAGAACTAGAGCCCATCTCTTTTAGGGACCATTTGATATAATGGTTAGTAGTTTTGTGTAAACCACAAAAAATAAATATTTAATAAACTTGTATATTTCAAAACCATTACTAATAAAATGTTTGGTAAAAATTTTGATTT